ACCCGATATTTTCCAAATGTATAAAAATCAGCTCCATCCGGTGTATCAACTAGAATATCAAAAAGCCATTAGCTCTCTGAATACCATTTATTTACAGGATTATTCAAAATATCCTGCGCATATTTCAAATAAGTTATTCGTAGAAGAGGTGAATCATCGCAGACCAGATCATCACTGGATCTTTACGGATGGGTCGGTAATGAACGGAAAAGTAGGTTGTGCCATTTATGATCCAATAAATAATTTTTATAGAAAATTCTCGCTTCCTCCAACATTGTCTATTTTCTCGGCAGAAATGTATGCGCTTTTAAAAGCTTTAGATTATATAGATTCGTTAGTAGAATCAAAATTCTGTGTTTTCACAGACAGTAGAAGCACAGTGACACAGATAGAAAAGTTTTCCCCAAAGGCTAACTGCGATTACTTAGTTTCAGAAACAATTAGTAAAGCATATGATTTGGAGCTCAATAATAAGTTAGTAACCATAAGTTGGTGTCGAGGCTATTGTGGAGTGGTCTTCAACGAGACGGTGGACAAGTTGGCAAAAGAGGCGACGACAAATTGAGAGGTCCAAAACATTCAGATTCCTAGCAGCGACATAAAACGAGTAATTTCGGAAAAATGGACAAACGAATGGAAACATTGGTATAAAAATGATAGCGCTGGTTTCTTTTTTAAAACGTTGGTCCCAGAACCCCGACTCCACCCCTGGGTAGCTAAAATGAAAGGAAGTAAGGCATTTTTCTCAACAATAATGAGAATACGGTCCAATCATAGCATGTGTGGGGCGTACCTAAAGAGAATTGGTTTAAGACCCTCCCCTAATTGTGAGACCTGTGATGAGCCGGAAACAATGCAACATATTGCATTGCATTGCCCGGAACATGAAAGTGCGAGAAATATGATGCTAAATCGTATATATAGATGTACGGAAGTAGAAAAGCCATTCAATTTTAATTCCTTAATAGCATCAGAAAAAGAAATAGTTTTTAAAATATTGTATACATTTTTAAAGGAAGCGAGTGTTGAAGCATAAAACAAAGGAATCCTCATAGTAATTAGTAATTCTGTAGGTAAAAAATTGGCTTATACAAATTTATACAAATTGAAGCCTCGGTTGAGTCGAGAGTTGCGAGTTAGCGACTTTGGCCTGTTGATACTTCAAATTGATTCCCTGTATCAATCTTCATGAAATTTGGTCAAAATATCCCCAAACAATTTATGAAACTAAGGAAAATATCAAAAGTCTAAAAAAACTCTTGTTTTTTTTTTCGATTTATCCAAATTGAAGCCTCGGTTGAGTCGAGATTTATTTTCGAATCAGTATCACTTAAAACTATCTCTCAAACAAATTTGAAATGAAGCTTTACTGAAAAACCAATAAAGAAGAGGACTATTCAAAGATTTATTTACAATAGGATCGTAAACACAAGTGGGAGATTTTATTTGTTTAATTACCTCTAATCCTTTAAAATGGATCAAATATTGATGTGAAACAATGGAAGATTGACTAAGAGATAGTTAAAAATATTAAGAGTGGCCATTTCTTTTGCCTTTCAGTGTATATAACTAATCAAATAGAGGGTTGATAAGACACACAATATTCCATCATTGGCTCTCTCACACTACACATCCATGCTTATAAGTACACTACATTTACCACGCTTTAAATCTATCATAACAAAACTTTGTATAGAAGATTTCTATCGAAACTCGAATGGGAACCAAAAACTTGCATCTGCGCTCAAGCATAATTATTATTTCGGATGGTATGCTAAAATTCGAAGATATACTATTTGCTACCACTGCTGCATGTTTTGCTTGATATGTTATTAAAATAGTAATGTACTTTTTCTGTATTATTAATTTTTGAGAGTCCTCGGTGGCCGAGTATTTAGCACGTTATATTGCAACGCTAGCAGGTCTGGGTTCGATTCCCAGTGTAACCCGTGGATTTTTAATTTATAATAGTATAAAATATAATAAAGTGGTTCGATCCCAAACCGCGTCAACAAAATTTTAACATTAAGTCCTCCTCTACGATATGAATTACTTTGATTTTTTGGCAGTTGTTGGGGACTAGTTATATTAACTATCAATTGTTATTTTTTAGGTGAAAATACGATGTCTGTAATGAAAACTCATTCTCTGGTTTACACGAACATCGACGGTAAGAAGGAAAGGCACGAAGACAGAAAAGCGGAAGGTAAGCATTTTTTTCCTCAACTGGTTTATACGCTAATCCTCATTCTTCGTGCAAACGGGAAAAATCCCACGTGAAACTCGATTCCCTTGTTAAAACGGGAAACAGTATATGGTGTGAATTTGGTAAATGGGGAGAAAAAAACAAGGGTCAGAAAATTGAAGCTTGTTTTCTCTTTATAACGTGTCTAATGAATATTTTTACCATTTTTGTTTTGTAAATTTGTATTACTAGAATCACAAAAATGTTTAATAATGTGTTTAAAAGTTTGAGTTGCTTTAGCATATTTTTTTAATAGTGAGTTTCTTATAAAATCCCATAAGTTAATGATGAATTGACCTAAATTATTGAAGACATTTTTATCTTAGGTTCAAAAATGTTCACCAAAACAGAGGTTAATTGAACCACATAATTGAAAAAAAAAGTCATAGTACTAATAAGAATGTAAATGTGGAACATGATGTAGCATTCTCATTAAAAAAAAAAAATTCAAAGAGTAAAAGCAGGTATTGTGCGCATTCAACAAAAAAGAGAAAAGAACCACTGGAATCACAGTGAGGAGTTTCCGGTAATATTGGAATCTATTGAAGTTTGAGTCGAGTAAGCTACCTCTAATCGATGAGGGAGTGCGTCAGGGCTGTATTATATCGCCCTTGCTTTTTAACCTACTCGGAAGCTGTATACAAAGAAGTCCTCAGCGGTAATCGTACAAAGGTGTCCGGATCAATCGGACACACCTAAATAGCGTACGGTATGCGGACGATACAGTAGTGCCAGCTGACAACATAAATGATCTGCAATGAAGGATGAACTCAACTACAAGAATAAAACAATTTTATTTACACATCAGAAACCTCGCATCCCGACGAATCCCCTCAAACCCCCCTCGAGACAATGGCTGCGAGATCTCATAGGAAGTGATGGTGATGACAGTGAAAGTGATAATGACACTCGTATCAATTGAACAAACAATATTATTGTAACGTTGGAGTAATACCAATGGGTGTTTTCTCCACTCTTGGTTTTAATTTTGTTTTGTTTTAATTACCTTTCTCACTGTTACTTATTACCTACTTTAAGGTACAAATTTAAAAAAAAAAAATTTTTTTAAATTATGTTTTTGGTTTACTGAGATGATTTTTTTAAATCGGAATATGCTGTTCGATTTTCTTGTACTTCGGTCGTTTCTTGTTATCCCGGTCCGACTAGTCTCGCTGTTTTGGTCTGTTAGTGGTATTTTATGTTGTTTCTATCACCATTTATTTATGCATAAAAGAAAGAGTGATTTATTGAGATTTATCATCTGTGATGAATCGTGTCTTTTTCAATTTCACTATACAATTCAATGATGTTAGCTCGTTGAGGCTCAATAAGCTTTCACGTAGAGTGATTTTTGACCGTCATACAGCATTGTCATGCAAAAGCCATTTGTCATCCGCCGCATAACCATTATAATTTATTATTTGAAATACCACAAAATGAAATGGGATCGAAAGTTTTTCTGTTAAACGTTTTCCTAAACTAAATCGTCGTCCTTTTGTCTCGGCGTATTGTGAATAATATTTTATTGAGGCATTAAGCGATTAAAGTAGACAGTCATGAAGGTTCTTTGTCTTTGAAAGAGAATGAAATGAACGAAAGAAAATTTAAATTACCCAAAGTGCATCTGGCATATCTCATCATAAACAGTGAAAACAAATAAAAACAGCGCTAAAGAAGAGAAAATAAGCTTTATCTTTTCCATACGTTCAACATGAAAAGTAAATTTAAACCGCCTGCAATTGAAACAGAAGGGTTTATAAATAACATTATTAATCAGAAATCGTGAGATGCGGTCTGGTGTGATGTCGGTTTCAGAAAAACATTTTCTTTATCGTGCCAACGTTTCGATCTTTATTGAGATCATCTTCGGGCTCAAAGTGTTTGTCTTCTGTGTAATTGTGCCATTCTTGCGTGTCGTCTTGAGAGTGCCGGTGAGATTTTGTTTTATGTTTATACACGTTGGATTTTGAAGGGGTGGGGAAGGAAGTCGGTATAGAAAAGACATTTTTGTATAATGCGTCGGCTTCTTTGAGGTGAAAAGAGCCGACGAAGGGAAAAAATGTGTTGGTAATGGTTCGGCCAGAAGGGGATAAATAGGAAAAGGAAAGCTAAATTTTTGGACAATTAGACTATGAAAAATATTTGATGTGTGGAATGTAATGTGATTTTGGTTAGGTTGCAATCATAGATATGTTGCTTTACTCTCTTGTCCAGATATTGGGATGTAAGACCGATGTAAGTTGCCGGACAGTTTAAACAGTTGATCTTGTAGATTACGTCAGATTTATTTGTTATTTGTGTGGGATCTTTAACTTTGGAAAAAAGTGGTTGGATTGTTTTATAATTTTTGAAAGCTATTTTGAAGTTATCGGACGAGAGAAATGTGTTTAATTTGTGTGACAGGCCTTGAATAAGTGGTATGGAAATGTATGCTTGTTTGTTTGTATTTGATATACTTAATGTAGTATTATTGGTAATGGTGGAATGTGTTAGTGTTGTGTTGTAGTTGTTGATTATTCTGTTAATTATATGCTTAGGGTAGAGATTGTTATGGAGGATCTGTTTGTGTATCTTTATGTTCTTGTGGTGAAATGATTCATGGCTCAGGGTAATCATTCTGTGAAGTAACCCTTTGGCCGTGTTTATTATTGTATGAAGAGGATGATGAGATTTAAAGTTGAGGTAGCGATCTGTGTTTCTTGGTTTTTGGTACCAATCTGTGATTAATGTGCCATCTGGTTGTTTTATTACAAGTGTATCTAAAAATGGTATTGTTTTGTTGTTTTTGATTTCATGTGTAAATTGTAGGCGTGGGTGAAAGCTATTGAATGTATCTAATGCTGCTGTCAATATATCATCTACGTATTTAGTGAGGAAGGGTAATGTGAAAGGAAGTTGTGGTATGACTGTATTTAGTACATATGTCATGATTATGTCTGCCAGTATCGGGGCTAGGTTGCTACCCATGGCTATACCAAACAGTTGTTTGTAAAATTGATTGTATGTAAAGTATCCGTTAACACAGCAGTGTCGGATCATTGTTACGAACGTGTTCTTTGATAGAGTTGTGTGTGGTGTTATGTTGGGCCATTTATCTTTAATAATGTTCAGTGTTGTGTCTATGGGAATGTTGGTAAACATGAAACAATGTTAATTAACTCACTCTCAACACGACACGCAAGAATGGCACAATTACACAGAAGACAAACACTTTGAGCCCTGAAGATGATCTGAATAAAAGATCGAAACGTTGGCACGATAAAGAAAATGTTTTTCTGAAACCTACATCACACCCGACCGCATCTCACGATATCTGAATAACAATGTTAATTAAGATAATTATCAACAGTATTTTATCATACAATATTATATAAATTTGAACGGTAATAAACTGTGTTAGTATCAAATAAAATGAATCTGAGTTATTTTAAGCCTATTTATCAAAACGACAAACATCCAAATGCAAATTTGTAATGATAGTCAATAATTTATCTAATATAATTTATTTTTACACAGGAAAACCGAATCCACAGAATTTTAAATTCAAAGTCATAGTGATAAACAATTGTTAACTGCAGTCGTTTCATGAATAACATGTGTCCATATTGGAATAAGCAATATCAACACTATGGAATTTTTTATTATTTATTATTATTTTATTATGTAAAAGACGCATTGCTACTTTTTCTTCGTCGAATTGCCCTTCAATGTTTTGAAATGTGCACTCTATGATGTACATGCATTGCGGTTTACGGAATAAACGATGAAAGGGTGAGACGTTACCTGCAAAGAAGCACGGCCTGGAGTCACGAGAATGGACGGCTTTTCAGCTTTTGTCACGCAAAGGTCGAGGACACGAGGACGGAAAGGAAACGAGCCGGGGATGTTTGGCAACCTCAATTAAAAGCCATTAGAAGAGCTGACGGGGTGGTTTTGTCATTCGAGTTCCATTACGAAAGTCCTTGTGGTTTCACTTGTACATTTTCAACCTTTCGACCAGGGCAATGACTCGTTTTATTGAAGATTCTAACTTGATGACGGATATTTTAAAAATTATCAAAAATAAAACAAAAAAATTGAAAAACTTTTAGGAATAGAAAACCATCAACATGCTCATATTGAAAATTCTTCCGAAGCGAAAAATATTGACCGTTGTATCTCTGCTTCTAAAAAATTAAGAACAAAGAACAAACTAGATCAAACGGTTAAGTTTATTAACAAGTGTGTGGTGATTAGTGACCGTTAGTCGATAATTATTCAGAAATCGTTAGATGCGGTCTGGAACCAGATTCTCACGATTTCTGAATAATTTATTAACAAGATTTTCTGATTGTTGTATTTTGAAGGTCATCATGCCTTAGACATACCGGTAGAAAATTTTTTATCTTACCATTCAATATAGTTTAATCACAACAAATTTAACGCATTGCACTATTTCCCCTGAAAGTTGGACATTTATTGAGTGTCAGACCTTGGGCCTATCGAAGAACCTCCCGAGTGATTTAAAGGAGCTATTAAGTCCGCAAGGTTATCCGGGAAATTCAATTTCAAACAAATTGGATTACAATAAAAGTTGGTTATAATTATAAGATGGTCTGGTAGGTTGATAAGAATCATTGGAGAGTGCTACAGCGTGTGTGAACGAAATTTGTTGGCAAATGTAAGTAATTGAAGCCTAATTTCTTTCTACTCTTTGCTCTTGCCTCCTCCCTCTCTCTCACTATCTATCTCTCTCCTTCTCTCTTTAATTTTCTCTCTCCCTCACTCTCTCTCTCTGTGTCTCTTTATCCTCTTCTCTCTCTCTGTCTCTTTATCCTCTTCTCTCTCTCTCTGTCTCTGTCTCTTTATCCTCTTCTTTCTCTCTCTCTCTCTGTCTCTTTATCCTCTTCTCTCTCTCTGTCTCTTTATCCTCTCCTCTCCCTCTCTCCCTCTGTCTCTTTATCCTCTTCTCTCTCTCTCCC